AGTATAGCACTTCGGATTTTTTAGGTTATCCTAGGTAATTTACACTATGTATAATTGTATTTGTGTGTACCTGTGAGACAGATAAAAAGAGAGACAGATAGAGATAGATGCACAGAGACAAATAGACAGTGATAGACAGACCCTAAACTTGGGGGTAACATCAGTGAATCCTTGGTGTTTGTTGCACTGTTTGCTTGAGCTGGCACTCAATTTAACTAGCACTCCCACAAGGTACTAAGTGGTCCAAGATTTTTTTAATATGGTGCACAATGAGTGTTAAGACCAGGCATCTCAGGCCAATCGTGCCAAATTTGGAGGCAGGAAAATTAAAACGTATGTATGTGTGTGTTTGGAGCACTAGCGGTAAGAATGTATATATACGTTTGGACCGTTTAGGGGTTAATAGTTCTTGTTCTTATTACTTTTCTTTTCAAACCCATGGGGAAGTGGAATAAGAATCTTTCCTCTGTAAGCCATGCATGTTGTAAAAGTCAACTAAAATGCTGGGAGCAATGGGCTAGTAACCCCTTTTCTCGTACAGCTTATTAAAAAGAGAAAAGAAGAAATCAAAGTGGGATGTTATGAATGAAAAGCTGTATGACCTGGTTCTAAGTGAAACAAAGTTGAAGGGGGGGGGTAGGAGAGTTTCAGTGGGGAGAAATAAATGGGATAAGGTCAGGGGTTTCTAACAGAGTTAGAGCTAAGGAAGGAGTAGCAATAATGTTGAAGGATAAGTTATGGCAGGAAAAGAGGGAATATAAATGTATAAATTCAAGGATTATGTGGAGTAAAATAAGGGCTGGATATGAAAAGTGGGTTATAGTAAGTGTTTATGCACCTGGAAAAGAGAGAAGTGTGTGTGTGTGTGTCCCAGCGGCAGAACCTGCAGACAAATCAGCAAAACACAGGAGGTGCAACAAATAATAGTCCACCCTCCCAGGCACCTAGGCAGGGCTCTCGCTGTCACTGGAAGGGACACACCACCAACAACTGCCTGCGAGACACAAGGTGCAATTACTGCCACAAGAAAGGACATCAGGAGGACCAGTATCGAAAGAAAAAGGAACTTGGCAGACAGGGCCACCTGTTTAGACCTGTTCTCGGAACAAACCAGCAGGATCTCTGAACTGGTGAACACACTCGCACGTCACCCACTCAGCTACTCCTATCTCAGCCCAGCAGGTGGTATTGTGCCTTATACAAGACCAGAGACCTACATCCCTGCAGTTGCCTCAGTGCCCTACCTCTCTCGAGGACAGACACCTTACATGCCTTACATACCCACCACCTCAAGCTGACCACATCATGAGGAGCCAGTCTATCAGCATCCTGTTGACCAGCATTAGAGGTTTCATTACTGATGTTGGAGAGCTCACATGCAGTTTTGTGAATACTCGATGTACCGACATGATAGCTGTTGTTGAAACATTTTTGGACGACAGAACTCCAGAAAATTTTGCAAGAACTGCTGGCTACACCTCATGGATGAGGAGAGACAGGCAAGGGCAAGGAGGAGGTTTTGCTGTGTGCTTCTCTAAAAGTGTACATGCCCAGCACATTGATGTTGCCATCCCTACTCATCTTGAAATGTTCTTCAAGCTCTGCATAAACACTAGTACCTCTGTACTAGCGTGTGCAATGTACAGACCTCAGTGGCAACATGCAGACCCCATCAACTTCCTAATGGAAAATGTGGACTCTCATCTGCTACAACCCAACTGTCAACCAACACCTTATACAGAGGGACTTTGATGACCTTCTTGCAGTATTTGACATGAGAAACTTTGTTGATTTCCCTACTCACATCTCTGGCTCCTCCCTTGACCCAGTAGTGAGTGATCTAGCAGAAGGTAAAGTCACTTGTCAACCCCTAAGCTACGTTGGATCATCTGACCACAAGGCTGTTTTTACGACACTTAAGATCCCAACAGAACTAGGTGAGGAGTCCACATGTACAACCTGGCTATGGGAAAGAGGTAATTGGCCACCCCTTTGCTCTGAGCTCGCCACCACCAATTAGAATGCTCCTCTCCAAGGGGATGTTGACAACCAAGTGAAAGCCTTCACTGGACACATCCTTAATCTACAACAAGAACACATTCCTCACTGGCAATATGTGTAGAAGCCTACAGATCAGCCTTGGTTTGGCTTTCATTGTAGAGAGGCTGCTACTGCTAAGTACAAGGCATGGCGAAGGTATAAGAGACATCCTACCACCTATAACAGGAACTTGCACAGGCAAGCCTGTAGGCATATGGGTGATGTTCAAAACTGGGCCACCGGTAAATGGGAGATGGACACAAAAAGAAAGCTAGCATCAGGTAGGGTAGGCTCCAAAACCTGGTGGTCCCTGGCCAAGGACAGACAAGGTTATCTGCCTGATGAACTCATTCCACCTCTAAATCGACAGGATGGGACCACCTCTACTAGTAGTCAAGAGAAAGCGGACCTCTTTGCCGAACACTTTGCTACCAAAATGCAAGTTCCTGATCCAGCAAGGGACCCTCCTTGGCTAGCTGCAAGAACTGTGTCAAAGCTGTCAGTGGTGACAATAAGGCAGGGAGAGGTGCACTTCCTTCTTAAATTGCCTGACCAAGAAAAGGCTGTGGGCCCAAACAAGTTGATCCCAAGATTGCCGAGATGTGCAGACCATCTAGCAGCACCTCTAACTCGCATCTTTCAGCACTGCCTAGTACAGTGTAAATGGTCTTCTCTGTGGAAAGAGGCAAATGTAGTCCCTGTTCACAAAAAGAAGAGCAGAGCAGAAATCAGCAACTACAGACCAGTGTCACTCTTGTCAATCACTGGCAAGCTCCTTGAGACAATAATCTCAAGACAAATGACAGTTTTTTGACTACCACTCACTACTTTGTGACTGTCAATATGGCTTCAGGAAAGGTTACTCTGCTGCTGATCTGTTGTTAAACCTCTCCACTAAGTGGCACCAGTCACTGGATGAATCCAAAGTCAGCTGTGTGATAGCACTAGACATTGCTGGTGCTTTCGACCGGGTGTGGCACCAGGGCCTCTTAGCAAAACTTCAAGCACTGGGAATTGCAGGCTCTACGCTATGTCTCCTCAGTGATTACCTTCATGGTAGATCTCTAAGTGTAGTTTTCAATGGAATGGAATCAGCAAGGGAACATCCTTTTGGGGGCCCAAGTGTTCCAAAAGGAAGCATGCGGGACCTTTGTTATGGAATGTTTCCCCCCCAATGACCTTCATTCACCCCAGAACCCACATGCATTTTGCAGAGGGACTTTTACACTGACATTCACTTATCCGAAAAGAAAAAATCCCATGCTCAAAGCTACATCAATCACCAGCTAAGGCTAAAATCAGTTTTGGGGAAATACGGGCAAGGAACATTTGCACCTGAAAAAAAACACAAATAAATGATCCCCCTTTAGGCCCCAATGGTAATGCTGGTGCAGTAGTAAGGATGAAGGGGTTTTGTTTTGGGGCACCGGGGTGAAGAAGTTGATACCTTGGGGTAAAATTTTTTACTCCAAAAAAACCCATGAAGAACCATGTTGAAAATCTTGCAAACAAGGACCGGGAAAGCTCACGCACTTCGCCGTATCTCGCATCTCTTAAAACAGTAGGGGTTCCCAAGATTCTTACGGGGCACAAGTCCCTCAAAACCTTGGGGGTATCCCCATTTTCCCTTGGTTTTGCCTCCCCCCCCTTCATCTGCGACGCTGGACAGAGTGGGAAAAACAAAAGCAAGACGTCTTCCTCTCGCCTGGCCCCCTTTCCGGGAAATAGATTTGTCTTTTCCGAGAAGACCCTTTCCCAACATGGGAAAGGGATGGGGGTTTGGCCTTACTGTTATGTAAAAGGCCAATTTATTGTCAAAATACCACACTTGGATCCACTTTCAAAGGGCCCCGCGTGAAACCCAAGCTTTTATGCCACGGAGGCAAAAAGCAGCAACTTCCCCTCGGGCTGTACCCTTCCCCCAGAACATCCACCCCATCTGAATCATACAAAACCCATGATGACTCGAGTATGGAACACATTCGTACGCATAATAAATATCAACGAGTTTAAAGTCATTTGTTTAAAATGAAAATGCGGGCCCCACAAAAGGCTCCAATTTCCTTTCCTGTCCCGAACTTGTATTTTCTCAAAAACAAAAAAAAAGCTTTCAAATGAGCTGATTGGGTAACGTCTTAGTTTTAAAAATTTAAAGTTGGGAAACCCTTTAACCGTAATATACTGTCAAAAATTTGCTTGGGGACCCTTTTAACCTTGTCAAACCCTGTTTTAAAAAAAAAAAAAAAAAAAAAAAAAAAAGAGAGGGGGAACAGAAAAGGGGAGAGAAGAGAAAAGAAGAGAGGAGAGAGAGAGAAGAGAGAGACAGAGAAAGAGAGGAACAAAAGGAGAGAGAAAAGAAGAGAGAGAGAGAGAGAGAGGAGAGAGACAGAGAGAGAGACAAAAGAGAGAGAGACAGAGAGAGGGGACAGAGAAAGAGAGACAGAAAACCAAGGGGGAACAGAGACAGAGGGGAAAAAGGGGCCCGAGAGGGAGGGGAGACAGGAGAGGGAGAGAGAGATGAGAGAGAGAAAAGGGGAAGAGAGAGAAGAGAGAGGGGAGGGGAGAGAGAGAGAAAATGGGGGAAAGGGGAAGAGAGAGAGAACAGAGACGGGAGACGGGAAAAAGAGACAGAGACAGAGACAGAGAAAAGACAAGAAGACAGAGAGAGAGAGAAAGAGGAGAGAAAAGAGAGAGAGAGAGAGAGGGGCCCAGAGAGAAAAAAGAGAGAGAAAAAGGGGGAACAAAGAGAGAGAGAAAACAGAGACAAAAAAAGGAAGAAAACAGAGGACAAAAGAGAGAACAAAAGACAGAGAGGAGGACAGAACAGGGGAAAAGAGGGGAGAGACAAGACAGAGAGACAGAGACAGAGGAAAAGAGACAAAAGAGAGAGAGGGGACAAGAGAGAGAGAGAGGAGAGAGGGGGGGAGAGGAGAGAGAGAGATAGATTGTTTTTGGGAAAAAATTTTTTGAGTGAGTTTTGTGGAGAGTTTTGAACCAAGTGAGAGAGTACTTGTGGTTGGGGATTCTTTGCTAAAGGGGGTTTTAAAAAAGTTTTTAAAGGGAGTTGCAGGAAAATTTTGGGGTGCCAGGGGAAAAGGGAAAAGGGGGGGGCCTTTAATTAAAACTATGCGTAGAAAGTTTTTTGGGTAATAAGTAATATATTTTTTAATGAAAAAAAAAAGAAAAAAATAAATATACAAGTTATGATAAATCACGTAATAAAAAAGTATTTTTTGTTAGTTTAGGGTATTGGGGTAAAAGGGGTTGTTGGGTAGGCCCCAGGATGTACACGTTTGTAGGGGGGGGCAACTGATATATGGATCTTATTTATTTTGTAGCTACAGTTAGAGAAAAGGGGGTAGATGGGATAAGGGGAAAAAAATGGCAATGCAAGAAAGAGAGAGGTAAAAATTTTCTAAAAAAAGGGGAGGAGGATAAAAGGCAATTTTTTGGCAGAGAAAATTAAAAAAAAAATTATTGGCAGAAAAAGGGGGTTAATGCAAGTAGGGGTAGTGGGGGGGAGGTGGGGGGGTTAAAAAGGTATGGGGATTTTTTTTTAAAAATCCCGTAAAAAAATTTTTGGGGGAAAGAAGCTTGTGGCTTTGGGAGGGGGGGTGCAGGAGGAAAGAGGAGCAATTGGGGGAAAAGATGAGGTAAAGGGAAAAAAGTAGCTTATGTTTAAGATAAAAAAGATAAGATTTCGTTCGTTTTTTAAAACCCCGGGGGGGTTAGCCACCCGGAAAACCCCGGGAAAGGGTCAGTGCTTTCATCGAGGGACTGTCAAACTTTTCCTTTGGGGGTCCTTTTTTTCTTGCCCCCAGGATGCGACCCCCCCCAGTCAAACTAAAACCCAGGTACCTATTTGTGCAGGGAAAAAGGAAAACAACAGTGAAAGGGGAAAACGGTCGAAATTTTTCCCAAACCCCCCGGGGAAAATCAAACCCCGGGGGCCCTCCGTGTGGAAGGGGGGAGTTTTTGGGCCACCACCCACCAGGCCGGGCCCAGAAGTGAAAATAAAAAAAGGGGCCCAGGGGCATATGGGAGTAAAAGAAAGGTAAGGGGAGTGCAAAAGGAGAACAAAAATGGGGAGGGGGAAAAAAGGCACTGTAAAGAAATTTTGGGGAAAATAAAAAAAAAAAAGGGAAAACAAGAAAACGGGTTTAATTTAAAAAACCCTTTTACCGGGCAGGTCCGAGCCTGGGGGATAAAGGGGTTTTTATCATTTTTAAAAACAGAGTAGGGGAGTTAGAAAGGGGGGGAAGCTAGGGTTTTTGGGGGAAGAGGGCGTGAATATTTTGGGGAACTTTTTAATAAACGATGAAAAAGGGAGGGAGTAATTTTTCATGCACGGCCAGGAAGGTATAGAATCTTTTAGGAATGAAAAAAGAGCGGGAAATGTGAGTGAAAGGGGGGGCATGTTTACATTTTTGCAGAAATAAAAGGGGGTTTTAAAAGGGCACCCGAAACTGAGGGAGATCATGACAAAAATTTTTAAAAAAGGCGGGGGGGAGGAAAATTAAAGTTTAAAAAAGTGGGTTTGGAATTTTTTTTTAACAAATTTTAAAAAAAGAGGGGAAGGAAAACCTAGGGATTGGCAGAGTGTGTGTATAGTTTATTTATAAAAAGGGGAAGGGGTAGACAAAAAAAGATTTTAAAAAATTATTTTCTTTTTTAAGGAAAGGGCTGTTTTTCCCCCCGAGGGGGAGGGGCCCCAAAAAAGGAAAAACAAAAGTTTTCTCCTTTAAAATTTCCTAATACTTTATACACAGAAAAGGGGGGTTTTACTAGCCCCTCTTTCCTGGCATTTTGGGGGTCACCTTTTAAACGACATGCATGGCTTAGGGGGGAAAAGAATTTTTGTTCCCATTCCCCATGGAGGTAAGAGAAATAAACTGGCAAGAACTAATAAAAAAAACAAAAGAAAACCCAGAGGGATTTTTGTATATTTTACGCTTGAAAAATGCATGTTTTATGTGACCAAAATTTAAGTAGAAGTACCCGGGACATACCTAAATCTTGATTTTTTTGGGAAACAAAATTTAAGACACCGCAATCCTCCCTTTCATGAAAAAACAATTACGGGCTTCCCTTTTTAAAACATTTCACTTTCCCAGGACGGTATTTACCTCCCGGGGGCCGGTTGCTGCCATTTTGGGCTTGGGGGAAATAATTTTCCCTGGTATCCCAAAGGTAAAGATATGGAAAAGAGTTATTATTAAAAAAAATTAGAGGAAAGAAAGAATTGCAGATGAGAAAGGAGGTTTTTTAAAATGGGTAGGGGATGGTTTTTTTTATTATTATCAAAAAAGAAGGGGGGATGTTAGATCAAGTGTTTACATTGAAGCATATATGTGAACAGTATTTAGAAAAAGGGGGGGAAGTTTTCATCACTTTTTAGGGATTTAAAAAGGTATATGATAAGATGGTTTAGGGAGGGGGAAAATGGGCAAATTTTTGAAAGGGTGTATGGAATAGGTAATAACTTACTAAATGCGTAAACAGTTTTTTTTTTATGGGGGTAGTGAGGCTCAGGTTAGGGTTGTGAGAGAGGGGAAAATTCCCTTTCCCAGTAAACTGGGGTTTAGACAGGGGGGTAAAAAAGGGGGGTAAACCATTTTTTGTTTAAATATTTATAGATGGGGTTGTAAAAAAAAAGTAAATGCAAAGGGTGTTGGGGAGGGGAAGGGGGTTTAAATTAGGGGGAATCAAATAAAAAATTTGGGAGTTGCCCCAACATTTTCTTTTTAATGATATACTGGGGTTTTTTGGGGAGATTCCAAAGAAAAGCTGAAAAGGGTTTAGTGGGACGATTTTGGGGAGGATTAAAAAAAAGTAAAAGCTGAAAGTGAACATAAAAAAAAAGGAAAGGGGTGTGAAAAAAAATAAAATATTTATAAAAAAAAAATTGGGAAAGTCCCAACATTGGATGGAGGGAGTATGGAAGAAGTGAATGTTTTCAGAATTTGGGAAAAGTTAACTTGTCGCAGATGGGTTTATAAAGGGATGGGGTTAAAAATAGAAAGATATAGGAAAAAAGGGGAGTGGTGCACGGGGTATCTGTGGAGACCTAAAAACTTTATCCAGGGAGGCAAAAAAGAGAGTGAAAGAGAATAGGGTACCCCCCTTTTTAAAAACCCTTTAAAGGGCCCCGTCCCTAGACCCTAGTCATGAGCTCAGTTTCACTCTGATAAACTGTAAAGTGGTACTTTTTGGGCCTAGAATGAGAGAATACATCTATTTTGGTTTTGTACAAAAACATAAAACAGATCCTGAAAGCACACTGTGTATAATGAGAGAAAAAAAAAAAAAATCAGGGATTTTTCGATTAAAACAGCGACTTTGCAGTTTTTTTTTCTTTATTTTTTTTATAGTTATATTTGGGGATTTCTTGGCCCTCATTTGATAAAATGGAAGACATATTATAGAAATAGAATGTTTTTTGTTTGGGTTTTAGTACTGGAAATGGTTTTAAAAAACTGAGCTCAAAGTAGCAGAAATGTTTAAAATTTTTGCCTTATTAAAGGGAGTAAACAAACGGCCTCACACTTTCAAATAAAACGCCAGCTGGGGGGTTTCAAATATGAAATTCACAAATATGGAAGATTTTTTATTACAATTTTTACAGAAAATTCCCAAAACCAAAAAATTTTTCATTTTTTTGGGTGTGAAAAAAAATTCATTATGTGAATAAAAAATAAAAAAGGGAATTTATTTGAAAAAACCCCTCAAAACGTAATTTAATGAACAGAGGAAAATTTTGTTTAGTTCCGGGGGAAAACCTACATTGTTTATTCGGGGCCCCCTATTTAAAATTTGGGGAATATTTTGAACTTTGTTTTAAAATTTGGGGGGCCAAATTAAAAAATTTTCCAATCCTTTAATTTGTAGTTGAAACAGTTTTACTTGGCCCGTTTCTTGTGCCAAAACGATAGAAAAAATAAAAACTAGTGAAATAGCTAAGGGAAATTTTGGGTTTTGGAATAATGTAATTGGCCTAAAAATGGGGCTCAAAGTCGGCCCAAAAACGCCGATTCGTAATTCCTGGGCACAACAAAATTCGCCCAGAGGGATAAATTTTGTCAATTTTCCATTTAAAATTTGTACTTTTTTTTTTTATTACCCTTTACAAAAAGAATTCTCTACCATTTATAGGAAAAAATAAAAAAATTTTTTTTTTTTTAAAATTTTTGGACACTTTGGGGGACCAACCCCTTTAAAATTTGGGCCCTTGGGGCCCTGGGAAAGGGGTTTTTAAAAGGGTATGAGGCATGGGTTGTGGGAAAGCTGCGCAAGAAATGGGGCAAGGCAGTGGGGGAGGTGTCCCAAGAGGGAAAAGTGTAGTGTAAAAATTTCAGGGGAATTCGTAGTGTGGAAATTAGGGGGAAAAGGGGGAGTCCCCCCCCCATAAGTATTATTCCCGAGGGTGAATAGAGGTTTTTTGAGGTGATTTGGGGCATTTAAGAAAAATGGAGCAACATAGGTTGACTTGGAGGGTGTGCCCCAAATTTGTAGTGGGGGGAGGAAAAGGGGAGGGGGTTTTCCTAGGAAAAAGGGTGGGGGATGGGGTGAAATTTGGGGGTTTTGTGTGCAAGGGCCAGGAAAATACATCAGGGATGTTGGGGAGTGTGTTAAAGGAAATGAAAAGGAAAACAAAATTTTTTTTGGGACTTGATGAGTGTTGGGGTGGGGAGCGGGTAATATTTTGTGAAGGTATTTTAGGGAAAAAGGGGTTTGCCCAACTTTTAAACCCGAAGGTGGGATGAAAAATGCCTGAAAATCTAAAGGAGGGGTTTGGGAAAATTTGCTGTTTGGGTGACCCTCCAAACTGTCCCTGTTTTTGGGGACCCTTTTGCAAAACAGCATATTGTGTGAATGATGGTTTAAAAAAGTTTTTTTTTTTTTTTTTTTTTTTGGGGCACCCGGGCCCCGGTGGGGGACGGCCATCGGGGTTGAAAAAAAAAAAAATTTTTCCCGAATACCCATTTGGGGGAAATGGAAAAGAATTTTTCCCCTTTTAAGCCATGCGTTTCAAAAAGGTAAACTAAAACCCTGGGGGCAAGGTGCTATAAAACCCTTTTTGTATAAATTTACTAAATTTTAAAAAAAAGGGAAATTTTATTTTTTTTTTTAACCCCTTTAAAAGGCCAAGCAGTCTACGTTCAAAATTTGTGTGCTACCAAAAATAGATCTAAATTTTTTTTTTAAATTATTTTTTAAATATAACAAAAAAAAAAATAAAATCAAAAGGGTTTTTTTTTAACATTTTTTAAATGTAGAAAAACAAAAAAAAAGATCTACTTTTTTTACATACTTTCAAATGTTTTAAAAAAAGTTTATTACGTTTGGAAACCTTTACGGGTTAAAATCACCTGCCTTGGGGGGGATATGGGGGTTCATTAAAAAAAAAAAAAAATTTACGAGTTTTTACCAGGGAAACTGTTTTTTTTTTTTGGCAGAGTTATACCCGAAAAAAACCAAAAGGTAAATAGAGAGCAGGGGGCAGATAAATAAGAAAAACTTTAGAATGGGTAGCAGATGTGTAACCCCAAAAATCAAAATCCCCTGCAAAAAAATTTTGTTTCCATTCCTTTTTTGCTAACTAAGGTGGCTTTTCCCAAACCCTTTGGGGTAAGAAAAACTTGATGTATTGTTAACTTCATTTTCTGCCCCAAAACACCACCAATTTTTTTCCGATGACCCCACAAGCTGAAAAAAATTTCAATATTTCTTCAAGGGAATTTTAAAATTTATTCATGTATAACCTGCATGCAAAGCAAAACTACTTGTTTTGAAGGTTCTATAAATGTTAGCTACCCTACTTGCAACTGCAAAAATAAAAATAAAACTGGTAAAAATCATCCAATTTTTCAAAAAGTTTCCCCCAAAAACAAAAAAAGTTACCAAAATATCTTTTAAGGAAATTTAAATTACTATAAAAAAAAATAAACAATTAAAATTATAATAAAAACTAAAATATTAACAAGAACCAAAAATAATAAAACTAGGAACAGTAGGACCCCATATTCAGTGGGTTGTTCCAAGCACCCGCCGTGCAGATAAATAGCGAACCCTTTATGCAAAATCCTTACATCCCCCTTTTTAAAAATTATGCAAAAAAATAAGTTGGGGGGAAATTTTCAAATTTTTTCAAAGAAGGGGAAACACTTCGCACTTTTTCTTAGGCTTTGACGAACTTCCACCAAGACTACTTTTGTACTCTGAGGCAATTTTATGGGAAATTAAAAGGGTTTTCTAATGGGGAATGGTAAAACCCCCCGGATAATGAAAACCCAAAGGATACCAGACCCATGGAGGCCTTGTGAAAGTATAATTTAGAAAAATCCCCAATTTAAAACTTATAATTTGGGCAAAAAATAAAACTACGTTTAAAAATGTTAAAATACAGTATTAATAAAAATGAATAAACCACTTTAAAAGGATAGGGATCATACAACCCATCATTTTTTGGGAAAGGGTTGGGAATTCCCCAAAATTGGTGAGCCCGGGCTGGGAAAAATAGCATGCTAACCCCTGTACAGTATAAAATTTGGGGTCTAAGAAAAAGGGGGGGAAAAATTAATGCTTAGAAAATGTGTTTTCTTCATTACACTAGTAAGTAATTAATTAATCCACCAGAAAACCCCCTGGTGGGGGTCAGGCCTGTTTAACCAGGCGTTTTCTCCCGGGTGCAAAACCCAAACCAAAGTACGAGCCACAGCCCGGGTTGGGCAGGGAAACCCCCACTTTAGGTGGGTTTTTCCACTGCCTGCCCCTTTTAAGACAGCCCGGGGGCATTGGTAATCCCCCTTATGTATGTGGGAGGCAGGGGAACAGTTCGGGCCCTTGACACTTATTGCATTTGGGCTCTTAACATGCCCAGTGAAACCCCTGCTTTTTCCCTTGGGGGGAAGTTGCATCGTTTTCCGAGTCTTTTGCTTTTTTATTTTGGGGTTTTTTTCGTTGTGCAAGTTTTGGTACTTTTCCCCCCTAGGGTTTTTTCCCGGTGGGATGCCCAAACTGTATCTCTCCCGCCCCGTGTTCCCGGGAAATACAAAGGGTTTAGGAACTTCAAAACGCTCCCGTTATGCGCGCCCCTTAAAGGTTTTTTTGTCCCTTTTCCCAGGTCAGCAATTTTACCTGCCTTGGGAAAGGTTTTTGTTAGGTGCAGCAATAAAAAATTTTTAGCCTAGAAAAACAAGCGACTTTAAGAGTGTCAAACATGGGCTTGGCATCCCTAATTTTTAAGGTTCTCATTAAACCAAAACCCGTATTTTTAGCAGATTTATTGATACAATGTTATGGTCTTTTAAGGTGGATCCCCGACATGATCCCCCCCCAGGTCTTTTACGTTGGTTTTAAAGGTTTTTATTTTTTTGGGAAAGGGAAATTTTTTTTGAAAATCTGATGAAGTTTTTTAAATTTTCCCCATGTTTTTCCAATCTGAGTAATTTTAAAAATTTTTCATCGTTGAACCCCTTTTTGTTTTTCCCGCAGCCCCCTGAAAAAATTTGGTTTTATGTCGCCCCGGGGCCTTGCAGTGTCCCGCAAATGGACGACACAGTCATGCAAGTTGGGTGTTTATCTGCCCCAAAAGGGGGAAAAAGCGGTTTCTGTGGCTAACCCTCCTTGTTATGTCGGTTTTGAGGGAAAGGAAACAAGATGGGGCGAGTTTTGTGCCTTGTGGAACAGGCAAATTTTAAAATGTAGTTTCCCCCAACTTTAATCTGGTGGGCTAATACTCTTCATTTTGTTGGTGAGGGGAAAATTAAAAGATCCCTTTTACATACTTTTCCTGTTAAATCCTTTAGCACGCATTTTGTGCGCTATTACGCCATGGTCCCAAATTGTGAAAGGCCCCTTTTTCAAAAATCCTTTTATTTTTACAATTCAAACTTTTTGCCCTTTTAGTGCATCTAGGACCTTTTCTTTGTGATTTCCCGTAGTTTTTAGACAGACAGGAGCGACATGCTCAAACCCCTGGTTTTCCCTTTTTGGGTTTTTGGGTAAATTTATGGGTAAACAATGGGTGGGGGATTTTGCTTTTTAGGGCCCCTTTAAAGATTTTTATGATAAAGGGATGTTGTGCTATTGGGGTTTTTTAATTTCCCCCGCTATTGTTTTTTCTGCCCCTTTTGGGGGAGTGGGGGGCTATGTCTGTTGTTTTTAGTAACTGTGGGACGACCCCCCCTTCCATGCCCCCCTTTTTCCCCAAAAATTGGGAAAAGCCCCGAGAAAAGAGGCTTCTTGCAGTTTTTTGATGAAAAACGGAGTTTTTTATGGGGTTTTGGCCATGGAGCAAAAAGGGAAGGGCAAAGTAAATTAAAACCCTGTTTCGAAGTCATTTGGGTTTAGGATAACATCAAAAGGCCCTTTTGTTAATCAAATTCTGTGGCTCCCCTCTAAAAAATTTAAATTTTTATCTTTTTGACTCTCAGTCTGGTTAGCAGCTTGCTAAAAACCGTTTATACAGGGACTTGAGGGAGCTCCCCCATTTCCTTGCTGTCATCTGTGTAGGGGGGCCCCTCTTGTTTAAGTAGGGGCCCAATACTGGATGTGTTCTCCACCCCCCCCCCCCCCCCCCCCTTTTATTTGGGATAAGAAAAAAATACTTTTTGGGGTTTTTTTCGTTTTATTTATGGCTTTTAGTTCTTCCCCCCAATTCGTGATCCTTAAAAATTTCCCTTTTTTTTAAGTTCGATGTTTTCTATTTCTCTGAACCCGTGACTCCCTACGCATTTTAGATTATTGGGCCTTTTTTTAGCCGCTCTTTTTATTCTTTTCCATAGCCTGTAAAGGGAGTGCCTGTCTCTTTCTATTTTTCATTACTCCAATTTTTTTTTTAAAGGGAAAAAGCCTTAAGCATACATCGAAATGCCACCGAGTTTTAAAACTGTTCCCAGGCTAAGTTGGGGGCTGTGTTTTTTAGTCTATCTTCCCCGCTTAATTTTTTTAGGTCTTGGTTTTAAATTTCCCACTTTATTTCTTGTTTTTAAGTTGAATTTGGGGAAAGGGCCCCCGTGACTAATCTCATTTTGTTGGTCTGGGGGTCTGCGCAATTATTTTCTGAACCCGATTATGTTTTTGATTCCCAAATATATTGTTTTTGATTTGGGACATTTCGTTTTCAAAAATCATCATTGTTAGTGGAAAATAAGGGTTTGTGTTTTTCTTCTTTAGTAGGGTCTATTATTTGCTGGTTGAAGTTGAATTTTGTGCAGAGATTTAAAAGCTCGTGTGGGGTGTGTGTGTGTGTGTGTGTGTGTGTGTGTGTGTGTGTGTGTGTGTGGTTGTGTGTGTGTGTGTGTGTGTGTGTGTGTGTGTGTGGGGTGTGAGGGAGAGAGAGAAGGAGAGAGAGAGAGAGAGAGAGAGAGAGAGAGAGAGAGAGAGAGAGAGAGAGAGGAAGGGGAGAGAGAGAGAGGAGAGAGAGAGAGGGGGGAGAGAGAGGAGGGAGAGAAGAGAGGGGGAAGGGGAGAGAGAGGAGAAAAGAGAGGGGGAGGAGAGAGAGAAGGAGGAGAGAGAGGAAGGGGAGAGAGAGAGAGAGAGAGAGAGAGGAGAGAGAGAGAGGAGAGAGAGAGAGGAGAGAGAAAAGAGAGAGAGAGAGAGGAAGAGAAGAGAGGAAGAGAGGAGAGAGAGAGGGAAAAGAGAGAGAGGAGAGAGAGAAGGAGAGAGAGAGAGGAGAGAGAGAGAGAGGAGAGAGAGAGAGGAAGAGAGAGAGGGGAGAGAGAGAGAGGAAGAAGAGAGGGAGAGAGAGAGAGGAGAGAGAGAGATGAGAGAAGAGAGGAGAGAGAGAGAGAGAGAGAGGAGAGAAAGAGAGAGAGGAGGGGAGGAGAGGAGGAAGAGAGAGGGAGAGAGAAGAGAAAAGGGGAGAGAGGGGAGAGAGAGAGAGGAGAGAGAGAGAGGAGAGAGAGAGGAGGGAGAGAGAGGGGAGAGAAGAAGAGGGAGGAGAGAGAGAGAGAGGAGAGAAGGGGGAGAGGGGAGAGAGAGAGAGAGGGAGAGAGGGGGAGAGAGAAAGAGAGAGAGAGAGGGGAGGAAAGAGAGAGGTCCTCTCGCGGCGGGCGCTTCTTCGCTATCTCTCTCATGCTCTCGTCCTGTTCTCTCCTTCTCTCGCGTCCACTCTTCGTCTCCACACTCTCTCTCTACTCTTCTTGCTCCTCCTCTTTCTCTCTCCATTCTTCTCTCCATTTCTCTCTCTCCGCTTCTACCTCTCTCTCTTCTTCTCTCTGCCTTTCTCTCCTCTCTCTTCTCCTCTTTTCTCTCTCTCTTTTCTCTCTTCTCCTTTCTTCTCTTCTTTCTCTCTCTTCCTCTCTTCTTTCTCTCTCTTTGCTCTTTCCCCCTTCTCTTTTCTTCTCTTCTCTCTCTTCTGCTCTCTCTTCTCCTCTCTTCTCTCTCCTTTCCCTCTCTCTTCTTCTTCTCTTCCTCTTCTCTCTCTCTTCTCTCTTCTTCTCTCTTCCTTTTCTCTTCTTTCCCCTTCCTTTTCTCCGCTTTTTCTCTCTCTTCCCCCTTCTCCTTTTTCCTCTCCCCCCCCCCCCTCCCTTCCCCCCCCCCCCCCTCTTTCCCCGGCTCCCTGCCTCAACCTCCCTAATCCCCCCCCAAAATAAAACCCCCCCCCAAAACCCCCCCCACCCAAACCAAATTTTTAAACCCGGGCCACCCCGCACAAACCACCCCACAAATGGTTTTCAATCCCCAAAAAATGGGGGCCCCCA